CAATGTTCTTTATGCATGTATCAAAGAGTAAAGAATAGGTATGCTCCTATTTGGCACAATATAAATTGAACTAATTCTTTTTATTCATTCACTATAATTTCTTGACAAGGAGAAGGATGCTTTCATATATATTGAATATCACAATTAAACTCTCATTAGTATTATTAGTTATTAATTAGTTATTAAAATTATATATTTATTTCAATTGCCTATTAGTGACAGATAAGCAAATTGAACTTCGTTGTTGCGATTAAAGTATTGCTTTTCTAAAATCTTAGTTTGCAGTTCTAAACCACTCCCTGTGGGATCGATATCTAGGACTCCATTAGAGCCCTATATTACTTGAGCGATAAGTATACTTGTGTTGATAAGTGTGATTTTACAATTATTGAATATTTATTACGTCCATATTTATCTTATATTTTAAGCATATATAAAGTCGCGGTCAGCGGTGCTAATGTTGAGGTAACATTTTATCTGTTGTATGTAGAAACAGCTTAAGAAATGTAACTTTTTAATATTGTTAACTCTTTTGTTCAATTCTACAACAATAAAATTACTTAATTGCAAGTTGTTGTTAATATTCCATTAATTCTAATGATTTTACATCATGCAACTATGTATTTGATGCTAAGTATATCATACCGTGTATGAATGCTTTGATCTAAAACCATTAGCTTATGAAGATTTCATGTCATTCAGTTGCAGAGTCTAGATCCGTTGGCATGCCGCACTCTTGTTTGTGCAAATGCTGCCCCAGACCTTTCTGGTGAGTTTGTGAGTAGGGTTGAGATGTTGGTGACAATTTTAGTATTAGAACATCATGGTTTTCACATTTTTTTGTCTTCTTTTTTATCTTTAAATGCTAGTCTCATATGATTCTTATGAATATCATAATTAGCATGTTCATAGGTTATTAAGTTGTATCATGATTTCCTTATATAAGTTTTTTCTTAAACGTAGCCATTATTTAACTGATCGACTGACTTGCTTTATGGAAGCTTTATATGATAGGATACCAAGCTACTTGGATTCAAAACATCTTCCGTTTCAGCGAGGAGTAAGGTAGGGCCAGTATTAGTTTTCATTAATACTTATGATTGGAAAGGCTGCACTATGGCAGCCATGGAAGGCATTTTTCTCATTATTTTAGATCAATTCGTGCATGAAGTATATTACATAGTGCTTTGACCGCTTCTCCGTTCATGTAATTGTCATTGTTTCATATGCTGTAGTATTGATGTTAGTTTTTCTTGTATTGCTAGATTGTTGTTTTAAAGATGAATGACATTTCTATTGCTAGCTGTAGATCCAATGAGCCTCACTTCACTAGCTGTAAGAACTTTTTGTCTTGCTTAACTTGCAATAATCTATCCTTGCACTGGAGAAAGCTGGATTTGACTTTATGAAATTAGAGTTTGCTTGTTTTTATAAATGTCAACCTTTAAAAAAAAATGGATTTGGTAATGTGTGGCATAAACCATTGAAGTCCAACAAACCAAATCCGCTCAATACAACCCAATCAAATCCGAATTTTTTATAGGAGTATACACATTACTTTGAATAGATTGTACTACTAAAGTAAATTTGGGCAATATATAACTGCTAAAAGTTATATTAGAAAATAATTTATTGTTGTTAAAAGTTATAAGGATTAGATTTATTTCCTTGAATTGGATTTATCTCCATTTCTATTTTAGGTTTATTTCCTTTTCTATTTTATATCATCTCATTTATCTCCAAGTAATTATTATGAATGAATTAATTAGAGATATAGATGTTTTATCTTTTCTTTTATGTTATTTTTTTTCTTGTCTCTCATATTCTAGGATCCTTGTAAGGATATTTATACTCCCTTTTTATATAAATAAAATCATTTCGCTGAATTCTGAAAATCAACACGGTATCAGAGCCTTGAAGCAGACTCTAGAGTCTTCTACCGCCAGAAACTTCCTTTCCCTGCAGTCGACAATCTTTGCTGAGCTGCTAACCCTTCATTCCCCTCTTTTTTTTTTTTTTAAAGTTTTTCTACTTGAAACTTCCTCTCCTCGTAGGGCCCACCACCAGACTTTTCTCATGCAGCCTTTCGTGCCGTCGAAATTCCTTCTGCTGCCTTTCTTACCGTCGGAATTCCCTCAAGCAGTCGAAATCTTCTCTCGGTTGGAAAACTTCCTACACGCTACAAATTCTTACATGTTTAGTCTAGAAGAGACGTCCCGACAACTAAGTCTATCATCTAGACTACTCCATCAGACGATCCAGAGGTATAAACTTGATCAAACAGTACTCTGCAGACATTTGAATGTCTTAGATGTGTCATAACTGAATGATTTTGGACTCATTGGATTCGTCACGTTAAGATGCTCGCTTTGAACATAAGTTTGTCAAATTTAAAATCATTTGACCTTCTAATTTGACATTATAAGCTTCTAAAAATAGCACAACATTTCGATTTGGGTTAGATTGGACTTAAATTAAACAAGCTATGGTGTCATTGTATTTATCTCATCGGGCTAGTTTGATTGACTGTAAGTTTGTTGAAATCAGAGTTCCAGATATTTTTTTATTGAGGTTTAAATGTTATCTGCTGAAATAATTGTATTGAGATTCGTGACACGCCTCGAGATCAATGTAAGATGATAAAAATTTGTTGATGATGTATCGATATTGGCTCGCCCTTTTAGAGAACACGTCCCTTAGATTAAAATAAATTTTATATTACTCAAATTATGAAGTGAAAAAATATTATATTTATGTAGACTCATAATTTTTAAAATATTTATATTATTTTTCATGTTGTTTTATTACTTTTAAGGCCATATTTGATGGGGGTGGTGCATTTCTTAACCCATATTATTTATATATATTTAATACTTAAATTTTAATATTTGCAATTAAAACATATTGATATTAAATATCTAAACATGAGAAGATGCATTTGATATTTAAAAAAGGTCGGTGATAATGATTATTTTTTATGTGATGCCAAAAAATTTGAGTGAGGTTTATAAATAGAAAAGTTTAGGTTTGAGATATGTAAACATATGAAAATTGGGCAGTATTATGTAAATCTCCTTTAATATATGCATTATTAAAAAAAAAATCTAAAAATATAGCAAAAACAAATTCGATCGAGTAACTTCTACACGTGGCCTTTAAGATGCTCGCAACGGAATTGTTTCTCAATGATTAGATGGATCATACAAACTCCCTTCAAAACCCTAATAGCCGTCGCATTTCCTTTAGATTTTCCCTTTTTCTTCCTCTCACGAACCCTAATACTTTCAGCTGCCAGGCCCAAACCCATCAAAACCTTCAACGCAACTATGTCCACTCCGGCGCCCACCCCTCCATCCCTAATCTCCGAGAAGAAGAAGAAAAAGAAGAAGCAGAAGAAGAAAAAAAAATACGCCAACGTTGCGGATGCAGATGAAGCCTCCCACGCCGGCCTCAGTACCCTTTATAACGTTACCGATATTGCCGATGGAGACGGATCCTTATTCGCAGGATTTCCTCATAAAGCCCCAATCTTTCACCCCTACTTTGGACACCTCCAAGTGGCCGATCCTACTTAAGAAATACGACCGCCTCAACGTCCGTACAGGGCATTACACGCCTCTGCCTGCCGGAAACTCCCCTCTAAAGAGACCGCTTGAATTGTATCGCCGCTACGGCATCATCAACCTTGAGAAGCCATCAAATCCCTCATCTCATGAGATTATTGCTTGGATAAAATGCATTCTCCGTTCGGAGAAGACAGGCCACAGTGGCACTCTAGATCCTAGGAAACTGGAAATCTCATTGTTTGCATTGATCGTGCTACTCGCCTCGTTAAATCTTAGCAGGGAGCCGGAAAGGAGCACGTCTGTGTTGCTCGCCTTCATTCCGATGTACCTGACACTGCAAAGGTTGCTCGAGCACTAGAAACCCTCACCGGAGCCGTCTTTCAGCACCCGCCGCTTATTTCTGCCTTTAAGCGGCAACTCCGGATACGAAACAATCTATGAAAGCAAGCTACTTGAGTACGATGCCGAAAAGCACCTTTTTGTTTTTTGGATTTCATGTGAGGCTGGCACTTATGTTAGAACTCTCTGTGTTCATCTTAGCCGCATCCTTGGAGTTGGTGGGCACATGCAGGAACTAAGAAGGGTACAGTCAGGGATTCTTGGGGAGAGAGATAACATGGTTTCCAACAGCAAGCAAGCAATGTCTTCATCAGTCCTATCCAACTATATAGAGTTCAGAGTTATTGACTATCATTTTTTCTTTCAGAGTATTGTCTTAGGTGCTAAATCAATTATTCAAAAACCATGTTAGACAACTTCTATTGTTGTAATATTTGGCCCAACCATTTTCTTCAATGTCCTCCCATGATAATTTTATGAAGTCGATACTTATTTTAAAAAGCTAGTCCAAACCTTCCATTCTTATAATCATTCTTTAGTTTTTCATTCTTAAGTATATCACATATTCATTTTAACATTCTTATTTAGGTCGTACTCAATTTTGATATCAATCGAAACAATGCAATGTTATCGGTTTAATCATAATTTTATAAAATTTATACTTAAGCAGCCACATATTCTTATCACACACCACTCCCAAAGAATTCTTCATTTTAACCATGCAAACTTAACTCTAGAAGTAACATAATCATTCATAGCTTCATTTCTTTTGACATGATAGACAAAATATACTTTAATTCACTACGCCAACATCATCTTCTTTTTTAATAATATTAAATAATAATTACTAACATCTTGCACTGTTAATTTCATCACTCATGCACCCAACAGCAGCAATTATCTTAAGCAAAGAAATAAGCAAACCACAGGTGAAATCAAAACAAGATCCTCGTTCCTTCTTTCACTATAGAGAGTAAGCCAAAACTGCCCCGATTTTCTCTGTTTTGAAAAGCAGTGCTACACTAACCGTTACTACTATTACAAAAATAGGAACATTAGCCCAGTTTACAACAAAGCAGCATGTAGTGGTTCAAATTAAACAAAATTTAAAGAAATCAGCAAAAGGATGAAAAATAAGAGTAAACTACAACAAGCATCTCATACATATTCGTCCATCCAAGAGAAGCTCCCACGGAACAGGAATAAAACATAAATCTCAATAGTGCACAAGATTGTCATTTTAGCTAAAGATTAATTTAACATTGGAAAGAGCACGAAGCTAGTAGAATGATATATAGCAAAGCCAGAATATCAAACAAAGAGCAAGACCAATTTACCTCTTAAAAGGTCAGGAATAATAAGCTTTATCCTACTGCTCTGCATTCTCGCATTCAATGTTCTTCTTTTTCTTCTTATCCTTTTTTTTCTCGGTTTTTTCTCCCCCACTATCGTCTGCCCGGAGACCATCACCAGGAGCATCAGTTGCAACACCATCCTGCACTTCCTTGCTCTTCTTCTTCTTCTTATCCTTCTTTTTCTCCTTTTCATCTGCCTCCTCAATGTCAGAGCCTAGCTCAGTCTTAATTTTTACACTCTTATCCTTCTTCTTCTCTTCATCCACAACATTATTCTCATTAGAGCAATCTTCCTCTTCTTTGACCTTCTTTTTCTTCTTTTTCTTCTTCTCTTTCTCGCTTGTCTTCTCTACTGACTCCAGTACATCCTCCTTTGAGGTTTTTAAAGCAGTTGCCTCGACCCCAGCCACTCCATCTAGAGTTTCACACTTAACCAAATGCACAGTATCCTCCTTCAAGGTTTTTAAACTCTTTACCTCACCCCCACCCACTCCATCTTCAGCTTCAATCTTAACTTTCTTGGCAGGCACAGCAGCACCCTCAACATCATCATCTAATTTATGCTTACGCCTCTCACCTCCACCATCAACATTCTTATGCTTCTTTTTCTTCTTCCTCTCCTCTTTCCC